TGCATAACATCTGTAAATTCAAATCAGTCAGGTAAATATAGAAAAAAATACATCTATAGTATAACATCTGGAGGTGACACTTTGTTCAGGTAAATGAAATGAAGCCATTCTTTGGTTAAAAAAAAGACAGCTTTTAGATGGGCTTCATAGACGTTGAATATTCAGATAAACTGAACAGTCAATAAAAACTAATTGTTAAAAGAGTAAATTGTGAGACATCCAACGTTGTTCGATCAAACTGGTCAATATTCAGTCTAGAAAGTTCCTGTGGGAACTATGACGGGGACCGCCACACTGCTGCTAAACTAAATTGTTGATTTGGCTGTACTACTGTATGTGTTGGGGTTCGCGCTCAGCTACCTCTATACCAAATTTCAGCTCAGTATGCCAAAAACTTAATAAGTCAGTCATTTTTTCTATCGCTAAGGCGGCCATCTTGGATTTTGATCTGGATTCAGTATGTGATTGGGAACATTCTCAGCTATAACCTCACCAAATTTCAGCACTACGTGTGTAAAAATAGCAGAGTTAAAGCCGTTTAAATGTAGCTTTGGTGGCCATCTTGAATTTTTACATTTGAATTCATTATTTAATGGGCATTGCTCTCAGGAACCAACACAGCAAATTTCAGCTGAATAGCTCTAAAAACAGATGAGTTATCATTTTTTTTTTTCCCTTTTAGCTACAGCAGCCATCTTGGATATCTAATTTGCATCAGGAACATATAACAACTCGCTCTCAGCAATGACCAGAGTAAATTTCAGCTCAAATTCTCAAAGAATGACTGAGTTATTGTCAATGTTGTGTTTGCTGAGGTAGCTGTGGCAGCCATCTTGACTCAAAATGGCTCCAAACAATCAGAATACATCTGAGGTTGTTTTGATACAACATTTCTGGGGGTACTCATTGTGATTCAGACCGCATTAAAGTTGACAGAAGACTAAGATATAAAGTTAAGAAACCTGTTTCTAGGTGCATAATAATAAAGGTGCTGCCTTTACTAGGCAGTCCCCAATAAAGAAATGTTAACTCGTTAACAAAGAATATTTGATAGAAACTAGGTAGATGATATTTGAAGATAGTAATCTTGTTATGATTTTCTTGGAACAAACTTCAGTTCTATGTCATATAAGCTTCGCCCTTTAAGGCCTTCGCTTTAGTGGGTTTATCCCGTTATGCAGAGCATAAGCACTGAAAAAAATTAGTCCACGCCCACCTGCTGTGTGGGCCCTACCCGGTCCGTATAAATTACGTTAAGAGCGGGAAATCGGCTCCCATTTTTTCTTCAGCGAGCTAATATAGCACTGTCAGAAGAACAAAGAAGATAAATTGTGTAAATGACCAACCTTTGCGAAAGATGCTTGGCCCGGCAGTCGACCTCCGGTCGTCCGGTGAGTTCTCCTCCCCGAGGAGAAGATGACAGCAGTCTTATTCCAAGGTAAGCGTCGTGGAACATTTCCCAGTGACAGGTCACTACACGCTGGACAACGCCATCTTGTGTTTTTTCCTCTTATCGCCGACCCTCGGGGCGAACCGGATGGTTCCTCCGGGGCAAGGTGTGCTCAGCTGCAGCCCCCGCTGCTCATTCCCTCCCGGGGAGCGTAGTGTAGGTGGAGGGGGGCTGAGTGAATGCTCACCCCATCCCACCTCGTTTTCGCATCGGCGATCACACCGCTCCCGGCCGACAGCGCCCTCAGGGGTTGCCCGGCGGAACCCGGGAGGAGGCTGACATGAAGGGACCCCCTTTTTCTACGTCCCTCGCCTTTTCCCGCCAGTTCGGATGATCGGCGGAAAGGTTATTTTTCACTGACGTGTTTTTCCAGGCAGCCGCAGTTAGCAACAACGTGCGCTGCTAGCATATAGCATGTCCAAGGGACTGAAGGCCGCAGACCTGCCTTGGAGACAAAGAACTCCTTCTGTAAGGCAACTGACGCTATTCCTCGGTTCCCTCCCCTGGAGCCAAGCCTCGCGGAAGCTTCCGGAGCGAAGCTGTCCAGGTCGGAGCAGCGTCCCGTCCCTCCGGAGGAACCAGACGGCGACCAAAGCTCTCCAATCGAGCCCACCGACGTGTTTTCAGGCAACCGCAGTTAGCAACAACATGCGCTGCTAGCATTTAGCATGTCGAAAAGGCTGAGACCTCAGACCTGCCGGAGGAGACTAAGAGCTCCCTGTGTAGATCGGCAGACGCCATCCTCAACATGTGCGCCGCTCCCTCGGGTTGCCTGTCGAGGATTGTAGCATGGATGACGGTAATCCAACGTTCCATCTGGCTCCGTCACTCTCCATTGCTGCCGGAAAAGCTGCACAAAGACCGGATGGAGGGCCCCATCTCATCGGACGCGCTGTTCGGAAGCAGCTTGACGTCCATGCTGACGAATTCGAAGCAGTCGGAGGAGACGTCGGAAGCTGTACGCCATCTCATCTAGCCGCGCGGCTCATTCCGTCCTCCAGCCCGCTGGAGAGATCGTCAAAAGCAGAGGCAGAGACATCGACGCTCCACGGCAGCAGCAGCTTCGTCTCGCCCAGCTCCACCACCCGCCCCGCCCGCCAGAGACCACCCCTCCTCAGTCCGGCAGCCTGCACTTCAGCGTTTTCCCCAGAGATCGCCTGCAGACGGCGCTCGGAGCAAACAAACCGCAGAGCTCACGGGGGAGAAGTTTTAAGAAATGACGGTCTGCGGAGGATGTGTGTATAAATGACACAGGAATTGAATAAATGATTTTTCAAAGATCAAAACGCCTGTTTTTAGCCAGTCTGTAAGCTCGGATGAGCTCACAGCCGCTACACACCCTCCACTCATAAAGAGCCGGTGTCCTTAAATAAAGGTTTTTTAAATCCACCGCCGCTCCCTCACATGCCCAGACGCTCACGTGACACCACGGTAAGCGAAATAACTTGTTGTCAATCAGGCCCGCACGATCACCTCCCAACGGTGTTTACGCGCTCCCGAGCGAGACAAGCAGCCTCCATCCAACGGCACTGTGTCGATGATGCACGCACAGCTGCCCGGCGCTCACCGGCCCACATCGGGATAAATGTGGGACCGCAGGCCGGGTCCGGTGGAGGTCCCTGCTCTCAGCGAAAACAACACACGCCTCTCCTGTATGAACGCGAGTGGCCGTCATCCACCGCGTCCCAGCGATCAGCAGCTCACGGCGGCATAAGCGTGAGACAGCTGAATGAATCCAATGACGGGCCCCGCCCTCAGCGAGAGCGGCGCGCGTCCCTCCAGAGGAAACGTGCGCTCCCGCGAGGCTCACAACCTTCACTTCATCAGCTGACACACGCCTCGCCTCAGCACACACCGCCCCGCCCGGACATGAAGGTTGGTCCGCGATCCAGTCACAGCGCGCGGGCGCGCGCAGAACAGCCCTTTCGAGAAAGCCTCGCCTTGGGTCACGCGGAAAACATTTCCGCGACGCATGACGGCGGTCGAGGCGGAGGTTTGGATGACATCCGTTCAAAACACGGCACATCATTTAAACGCACGTCCACTCCACGAACGTCACGCAGAGTGGTTAAAAACATGCTCACCGGACAGATGGAGGGACAGAGTGTTATGCAAGGGTTACACGCTGCAGTTTGCAACCCGACCCCCTCCGTTCGGAGGAGTTATAGAGACGGTCCTGTCATCACCAGACCAAGTCTCAGCCTTAAATGCAGAAATCCAAGAGCTTCTGATAAAAGGTGTAATCTCAAGAGTTCCCAACGAGGAGGAAAACACAGGGTTTTACTCAAGCTACTTCCTGGTCCCCGAAAGGACCGGAGGGATGAGACCGATTCTGGATCTGTCAGCTTTCATCAAAGCGATCATGAACAGATTTTTTCACATGTTGATGAACAGACAGCTGTTGGACAACATCCAGGAAAACGACTGGTTTGTCTCCATCGTTTTAAAAGATGCCTATTTTCACACACCAATCATCCCAAAACACAGAAAATTTCTGCGTTTCGCCTTTCAAGGGATGAAGTACCAGTACAACAGGTTGCCTTTTTTGGGTACTCCCTCGCGCCTCGTACGTTCTCAAGTGTGTGGAGACAGCCCTGCATCCACTGCACAAGCAGGGATGAGGGTTTTGTTTTTACCTGGACGACCTGCTGCCCCTGTCTCACTCCAGACAGGAAGCATTGATACAGGCTCAGGTGTTAGCATCACACCTGCTAAATCTGGTTTTCGCCATACTGGAAGAAAAGCTCGATTTTCCCGGCCCAGATAATTGTTATCTGGGAGTGGAATTAAACTCAATTACCATGACGGCTCGTTTATCACAAACAAGAATCGACACTCTAAAAACCAATTACGCCACGTAAGACCTGGCAAAGTGGTAACAGCTGTCTCCGTCATGAAGCTGTTGGGAATGACGTCATCAGCTCACACAGTGGTCCCGCTGGGTTTGTTACACATGAGGCGCCTCCAGAGGTGGTTTACGCGTCTGCGTGTGGATCCAGTAAAACAAAAGAGACGGATGATCACTGTCCCTCCCTCCATGGGAGCAGACCTCCGACACTGGGGAAACACCCTGGCTCTGTCAGAGGGAGTCCCCGTCAGCAGATCCACGTCACGTGTCAGTCTTCACGGACGCGTCTCTGTCAGGTTGGGGTGGGGAACATGCCTATCTCAAGCAGTAGGGGCGCTGTGGCCCCACCGCACATCAGCCCACATCAATGTTTTGGAGTGTCGCACAGTGCTGAATGTGATTCAACTTTTTGCTCCCGTGCTACAGAATCAACACGTGTTGATTCACACAGACAACATGGTGACTGCTGCGTACATAAACCGCCAGGGGGGTGTGCGTTCAGCCCAGATGTTACACATTGCGCGGAAGCTACTGAGTTGGGTTCATCAAACCTGCTTTTATTAGAGCAGTTTACATATCCGATGTTCTGAACAGAGGGGCTGATGTGACGTCCAAGGGCGGCCCACGTTATGTGGACCGGATCCTCCATCCGGATCTGATGTTTTTCAGACGCAGCAGAAGTTGGCAAAGCAGCTGTGGACCTGTTTGCGATGCGAGAAGAACGCTCAATGTCAACTACGGTTTTCCCTGAGCCCGCGAGACGATCCATCGCTGGGGGGGGACGCATTTGCTCACAGTCGGTGGCCCAAAACGCTTTTTACGCGTTTCTTTCCCCCCCACCTCCTCTGTTTTTTACGGTCCATGAACCGAGTTCAAGAGGAGGGATTGACAGCCCTCCTTGGTGGCTCCCGGCGTGTGAACGCACTATGGTTCCCAGGCCTGCAACGTCTGTTGTTGGGTCGCCGTGGAACTGTCATGGAGGAAGGATGCTCTCCTTCAGGCAGGAGGAGCGACCAAGAGTTACCCAGAAATAGGTCAACACCGGTGGGTCTGACCGCTGAGCGGTTCCACTTAGAGGATGGGTCTCCCTCAGGAGATAGTGTGCACAATTCAAGATTCACGTGCTGCATCTACCACAGTTCTGTACACATCAAGGGGACGGCTTTTCAGCGCTGGTGCACAGAGAAGGTTTAGAGACCACCTCATGCCTTTTAAGCGGCGTGTTGTTTTTCTACAACAGCTGATGGATAGGGAGTTGGCTTTCAGTACGCTTTAACGTACGATTGCAGCCATCTCTTCCTGCCACAAAGGGTTTGGAGTCAGAACAGCTTTTATCACCCGCTGATGAAGCGGTTTCTAAAAGGTGTACAGAGATGTAGGCCTGTTTTCACGCCCACTTGTTTTCCACAGTGGGTTTAACGCTGGTCCTGCGAGCCCTGATCAAAGCTTCAATTGAGCCTCTGGATCAGGTTTCATTTAAATTCTTGTCTCTTTTAACAGCCCTGTTGCTGGTTTTAACACCCGCTAAGAGGGTAAGTAATTATCTGCCCTCTCTGTTGCTTCGTCATGCCTTAGAATTAGGCTGACGGGCAGCTCAGCTGATTTAAGACCAACCCAGCTTTTATGCCTAAAACATCACGAGCTCTTTTAAATCAAGAGTGATATCGTTGGAGGGGTTTTTTCCCCCCCCACAGATCAGAAGAGGAAGCATCTTTTCATCTTCTCTGCCCGGTGCGGGCGTTTGACGTGTTACATAACGCACACAGCTGCAATGCGTTTCAAACTCAACAATGGTTTGTGCATTATAGAGATGTTTCTACAGGTCGCCGTTATCCATCCAGCGCTTATCACACTGGCTGTGTGAGGCCTTTTCTGAAGCCTACAGAGCATCAGATTTAGAGCCTCCTGTCAACCTCTAAGCACACTCGACCAGGGGTATCGCATCTTCGACTGCTCTGCATAATGGTTTGTCAATGCAGGACATTTGCACTGCGGTTGCATGGTCAACACCCTGCTCATTTATTCGCTTTTACCTACGTGATGTAACGGCTCGTTCCATGACACATTCTGTCCTTAGTGCTCTAACAGAATGAATATTGTTGTTCTCATGGAACTCTGTTTAAGCTCACTTCTGTCTGCATGCATTACAGTGTGAGATGTTGTTATCAGTCACAAGTCGTGTCTGTGATTTTGGTTATATTGTCACTAATCAGTTCATGATTATTGTTACCAATCAGTTCAATTGATTTATAATCAATTTATGGACATTAATCTGTTTATACTGTTCAGCCATGAACCAGTTGGTTCATGCCCCCCTCTTTTCAACTTCTTCTTCCCGTTGAAAGTTTTCCGGGGTATTCATGCTTTGTCAGAACGCATAGCTACACAACATGCGTCTGTGCATGGCACATAATTACGCGATGCGTAGTTATGCACATGGGGAGCTGAGTGACAAGACGTTTTTTGGGCAAGCTTCCGCTTCTTACTGTGTTCGAATGGACCCAGTGAGGCGAGGACCACATCGGCTTCGCCCTTTACCCACTAAAGCGAAGGCCTTAAAGGGCGAAGCTTATATGACATAGAACGTTGGTTACGTACTGTAACCCCAGATTCTATGAATATAAGCGTAGCCCTTTAAGCGTCGGGCCTCACTGGCTCCTAAATGGCTGAAGAAAAAAGCTATTTTGGGAGCCGATTTCCCGCTCTTAACGTAATTTATACGGACCGGGTAGGGCCCACACAGCAGGTGGGCGTGGACTAATTTTTTTCAGTGCTTATGCTCTGCATAACGGGATAAACCCACTAAAGCGAAGGCCTTAAAGGGCTACGCTTATATTCATAGAATCTGGGGTTACAGTACGTAACCAACGTTTTATGGGCTTGGTGGGTTGAAATATCCAGTTAAACTCCAGTGGAATCTGAAGATGAGAAAAAAACGGAAATTAATCAGTGACGTGGCAGTTGAGCCGAGTTCAGCGGGGTGACTTCGTCTTACCGAAGTGTCTTTGCAGGTTTCCAAGGTGTAACTCTGCAGGAGGCGCACGATGACCATCTTCATGACGAGCATCGCGTAGCGCATCCCAACGCAGTTACGAGGGCCGAGGCCAAACGGCATGTAGGCGTACGGGTTCAGGTCTGCCTCGTTCTCCTTACTGAACCTGCACAGACCAGATTAAGGTGTCAAACTGAGACGTTCCGACAAGGACATAAAATGAGTCATCCTCAAACAGAAACTGTGAAAATGCAGCATCGATCTCGTGTTCTATGTCAATTTACCTCTCTGGTTTGAAAAGCTCAGGCGAGCTCCAAAACCGCGGGTCCTTGTGTAACAAATGCACCGGAACCCCAACTAATGTTCCCTCGGGGATGGTGATCCCATTTATCTGCACGGTCTTTTTGCAAACCCTATCAAGCCGGGGTGCGGTGGAAATCAAACGCATCGACTCGTAAATAACCTGGTCCAGGTACTGCAGATTATACAGGTCGGTGTACGAAATGGGAGTCTGGATGAGAGATTAAAAAGTGGGAGGACAAAGAAGAGAAAAAGTAAAGGATTCTAAGTAATGTGTTGAATCATAAATAATAATTTAAGAACAGTTATTGTACATCTTCATGCAGGTTAGCATCGATCTCTTCCTGTAAGGTCTGCATCACATCAGGGTTCGTGGCCAGATTGTAGAAAATGAAAGACAGAGTTGTACTGGTCGTCTCGTAGCCAGCAAAGATGAACATCAAGGCCTGAGAAAGGATCTCATGTTCAGTCAAACCTACAACACAAGCATCACAAAAACGCATCACACTCACGTCAAGGTCTCACTGAAAAGATAACTGGTTAAGCAGTGTTGATTTAGTCAACATGATTCAAGGAGGTGGTGAAATTAAAAGTGTTTGATTTAACCAAATGTGCATTTTACTTTGGTCTATTATTAAAAACTGGGAAACAGCTGCTTGAGAAATAACTAACAATGAAAAAGTTTAAAAACACAATAAAGTAGTCCCTCACTACTTCGCGGTTCGTTTTTGCGGACTCTATCATGGTTTTTCAAAATAAGACTGGACATGACACACAATTAGCTGATTGATGGATGAGCTGCAAGATCGGCATGAAATTTTTATTTAAAATTAATTATTTTAAATTATTTAGCACCTGCTGCACCTGTGTGCAGCCCACAGCTGCAGAAAAAGCTCCCTCCTGCAGCATGTCAGATCTCCACTCTGCAGTGGAAAAGTGGGCGTGGCCAAGAGCGCCAGCAGAGTGCAACCAGAGGCAGAGAGCTGAGATCATAACACGCTGTGCTCTTTTATAGCGTTTAGAGTTTGGAAAATTGTTAGGGACATTGCAAGAGTGTAGAAAGGGTTTTAAATGCCTTAATATATACCTGTATATAAATACAAAAAATAAATAAAAAAATACTACTTACTACTACAGTAATTACTAAAATAAACTAGTACTTACTACTACTACTTCTGCACATAATTGCGTTCCATCTCATGTACCACATGAGATGACAATAAAGTTTACTTGCGCCGCTCAAGGTGGCTGCATGTTGGAGCAGCTCTGTTACTTTCATTCCAAGATTTTGCTTTTGGAAACTTTAATTCCTGGTTTTCTGGATGTAAATCACATTTTTTGGATGATTGTTTCCTCTGGTATCGGATGCTGTGCAGCTGGAAGGATTTTTACTGAAACTTTTTTAGTTTCACACATTTGCTATGATGCGTAACCATGGCAACAAGGCAGTTTTCTACAACCAACAGCTGCTGATTAACATCTCAAAAGCTCAAATAATATCTCAACTACAGCCCCAAATCTCAAATGAGTTGAAAAGGATGTTCTGTGGACGCATTCTCATCTACCTGCTGGCTATGCTCGAGTGCCTGACCACTGAGATCCTGGAACTAGCAGGAAACATGGGTCATGACAGCGGAAGGATGGGATCATCCCTCGGCACCTACAGTATGTGGCTGAAAACTAAAGGGGACGGGGCCTTTCAGTCAGTGGCCCCCCAGGCTGTGGAACAGTTTGCCCCTGCAACTTCGTTTTGCTGACTCTGTTGAGTGACGAGGAGCTCGGCAGACTGCTGGGAGGATTGGCCATCACTCTGGGAGTAGTTCTGCCCAGCATCCTGGCGGTCCTACGGCCCGGGGGAACCGAGAGGCCAGCCGAGTCCGGGTGGACGGATCGGACGGCATCTGCAGCCAGTTTCTTAGGATCCACTGTGGGATGGACCTTTACAAGAAATCCTTCCTGTCTACAGCCATCAGCATCTAACACATCTCTTAATGAAATGAGGATAAAGAGCTACAACAACAAATAATTTTCCTTTGGGATTAATAAATTATTTTTGAATTGAATTAAATTGAACTTAGACTACTGTATCCCTACTTCGCGGTTTTTCACTGATCGCGGGTGGGGGGGGCATGGTTCCAAAGCCCCGTGACAAACGAGGGACTACTTTACTCAGCTATTTTTTAAGTGTTAATAATAATTAAATACTGGCCAAAATGTCTTGTTATATGTAATATATATATATAAATGTATACCTAATTGTAATTTCTAATCTTGTGTTAGAGTAAAGCAGAAAAACCAGTGAACATCTTCACTGGACTGTATCAGTTCCTTCAGTTTAGGAGGTTTCATTTATTCTCTGTAGGACTGAGTTTTGTCTCAGGCATGAAATTTTACTTCAACTTTGTCCCAGCTGATTGCTTATTTCAGATAAACTAATTCTTACTGAAACACTTTTACAACAGTGAATAAACATTTCTTCACACATTGTTGTGCCATTTGTGCTCCTGGTGGGAAAACGGTGACTGTATGGGATGTTAAAAAGCAGAGAGGCAGCTGGATGTTTCTGGTGCAAACAGTCGGTCTGCTCAAGAGACTAAAACTGCGTGAAATACATTTTTTTTTTCCTACATCTTGATGTGAAAATGATGTTTGTAGAGATAAAACTACAAGCGCAGTGGCACAATAAAAATTAAATAAAATTCAGGGTTCAGTAAACATCGAGATGTTTTCCAGTCTTTTGTTTAACTTTGTGATGCTGGTATTAAAATATATTTTAGAAAGACAATTTGTTTTAAACACAGTTCATACATTGTCTTTGCAGCAAGGATACAGTTTCAGTGACATCCTTATATTTGCATCTATTTACCGTATTTTTCAGACTATAAGGTGCACTTAAAATCCTTTAATTTTCTCAAAAATCGTCAGTGAGCCTTATAATCTGGTGCGCCTTATGTATTAATTCTGGTTGTGCTTGCTGACTTCGAACTGATTTTATGTGGTACACGGCGCTCAAAATCTGTCTGAATGAACTTGTTTTGTTTAATGCGCCTTATAATCCGGTGCACCTTATTGTCCAAAAAATACGATACCTTTTAAAACGTTGCCTTAACCTGTTATCTCTGGAGCTCCATGTTGCAAACATACTCAAAACTGTTCTCTCTGTTCTGAACATTACCATCAATATTGGAGCACATAATGTTGCTGTTGTTCTTTCGGCTGCGCCCCTTCGGCAGGCGTTGCCACAGCGAGCAAAATCTCCAAAGATTTTGGCAATTGTTTTGTGTCAAATGCCCTTCCTGGTGCAACATGGGCTCGAACATGCGGCCACAGGATTAAGAGACCGTGGCTAGGCCTGTCGCGATAAACAATAAATCAATTAATCGCATGATAAATGAAAATTATCAACCTCATTTTCATTTATCAGCTTTATTGTTTCTTCGTGTGTCTCTCTCTTTCTACTGAAGACACTGGATGACAAAAGGCTCAACTCCGGTGCTCTTCACTGACCCCTCCCTTTCTCTTTAAAATCTGTTTTAACCATTCAAAATCGTGTTTTTGGATCGTTAAAAGCAGCTAATCTGAGAAGCTAAACTACGAGTTAAGCTAACAGGCCGACCTTGGGGAAAAAACCTCCGTCTTGTCGAAGCTCCAAAATTCATGGTTGAAACCTGTGCCTTCGTGTAAAAAGTTGGTTTTCTCTACAAAAAGAAGCTGAGAACTTGTTTACTGTTTTTTTTTTTTTTTTTATTAAAAGCTTTGTGTAAAAAATGCTATGCTAAAGAGCTCAAACCACATTGAGCGTCTGGCATTTTGAGAAGCGAAAACAAGGAAGGAGAGACAGCCCATGTCATGTCAAGGGGCCTCCCTCCCATTTTTCTTACAGAGACACGCTACTCGCTCCCTCACTATCTATCCTTCGGTTCAAACAGTCTTATACTGACATCCGGTGGTCGAAAAAAGGAACTACACTCTAAAATCAACATTTTTTTCTTAAATGTGACAATAAGTAGTAATTATTGTCAAATTTCAAACAATTTTATTGTTTATCTAAATAATTTCTGAGACAATTAATCGCCCAGCAAAATTGGTTATTGTGACAAGCCTAATCGTGGCACTGACCACTGAGATACTGCAGCCGGAGCAAATAACCTGAAATTGTTCAACTACTGTGTACCCAGCACATATTTTACACTTTTGCACTCAGGTGAACCAGAACCTTTGCAATAGGGTGGCCAGAAGAGGGTCTCTGACAATCCATTTGTAGTTTGCTTATTGTTTTACAATGAAGTAAACCTTGTACATTTTACAAAAAAGAAATAAAAGAAAATGAACTGAAAAGAGTTTACTTGCCAACAGATCAGAGACAGGAGATATGCGTTACCTCGGATGTCTTGATACCTTCTGTGCTGACTAGGGCTTTAACAGACTACTCGAGTAATCGACAGGTCGATTCCTAGGACATCTATCGAGTTTTTAAATTTCCCGTTGAGTATTCGCAGTGACGTCATTGTGTCACTTGATCCGCACCGGGCTACTGGTAGAAGCTACCAAATGGATTCCTCCCAGCAGATGGACAGGCCCAATCTTGGCAAACAGGTAGAAATAAATCAATAGTCTGGAAATATTTCACTAAAGATGAATCTTCTGGTTCAACTACCGTAAGGAAACAGAAAATGAAGCAACTTCCTGACTGTTTGGAGCTCTTTGCGAACCAGTGTTATACCATATTCTGTGACCACCGTATATTGTGACCGTAGGGGGTGGTGTTGCATGCACTGTTGCAGGTCACAGAATATGGTGCAACACCGGGTCCAATGACCGAACCAGAACCAGCTTCTTCTGACTTCGTTTTACAAACAAAAAGCAAAAAATATTAATCTCTAAACCTATTAAAAAACCTATAAACATATTAATCTTTAAATTAAACCTAATGCGCACCACAGCTGCCAGTGGTGCGGTGTGGTCGTCCACCTCACTGTTTTTAGTTTCGTTTTTTACGTGCTGCACGTTATTTCTTTCACTTTTGCAGCTTAATAATAATAATAATAATAATAATAAGTAATAGTTTTGGTTTTCCTGTGACTTATTTGCAGTATGATAAATGGTAGGAGCATAATATACTCTCCCAATGTTTTGTTGGTCTTTTTTTGTTTTGTAAATAATAAATTGTGTTTTTTTGCGGTTTTATTTTTTATTTATTTTTTCATCTCGAGCTCCTATGACGTCATCAACTACTCGAGTTCTACTCGAGTTTTATTATGTTAATGTCGAGTTTAAAAATTATGTAGTCGTTCAACCCCTAGTGCTGACAGCATACCTTTAGTTGGTTGCTCCTCTTCGTTTTTTATGTCCGCGTCTGGGATCTCGCTTTGAATCATCACCTGCAGGAAGTCTCCTCGAGTCTGGATGAGCACAGACAACCATCAGCTTTTACCTATAATTCTTATCCACATATGATATTTGAATAAGCCAGGACGGCACAACATTAGCTGGTAAATGATTGTAAAATGAATGTTTTTTTTTTTTTTTCAGATTACAGGATGTGGAAGTCTTCTTTTGCTAAAAGTGAGCTGGGCTTATGGCTGGAATTACTTTAAATCAGAAACTGAAAGTTAAATATGAACAAAGCCATGCTTACAGATTCATCTGTTTGATGTTGGTCTTTAAATTTCTTGATGATGTTGTAGAAAAAGTCCACACTGGGTCTCGATAGCATTTCAATTTTGAAGAGCTTCAGCAGATAACGACCTAAGGGAAACACCACTAAAAGAAAAAAACAAACAAACAAAAAAACAACAACACCATAATAGAGTTGTTAAAACTAAATCGCATGCTCTTACTAATGAACTCATCTTGAACAAGAACAAGCAGCGCATACTCAGTAACAAAAAAAGTCGAAAGTTGATTTTCATTATCTTCTGCATGTGAGTGTTAACGGGATCATCAGGATTGTTTATCGAGTCGATTTCCACACTGAAGGAAGCACTGGTCACCACATCCAAACTGAACGGTGCCACAAATCTGAAAAAAAAAAAAAAAAGTAATAGCCACCATGTCTATTTGTTTAAGAAAAAAACATTGCATTAATTTACAGTAATACATCAATAACATACTTTTTAACCTCTACGGGCTCATTCAAATTCATTTCCCCGAGTTTTGCCACAAGTCGGTCTGCGAAGCGAGCAATGAAGGGAAAAACCTTCAAGAAAAGAGGAAAACAAACTGTGATGCAGGCAGCGTGTTGTCTGTTCTCTGCAATTTAAAGCACTTGGAGACACAGGGGTGGGTAGAATATATCTGGATCAAAACAACATTCTGTTCTTCCTGTACCAGGGTTAAATCTCACACCAACTTATAGTTCTGATCTAAATCTGATGGAATATCTGTGTAAAAGGGGCAGTAACAAAACACAAAATGGTAATACTGTATTTTTTGCTGTATAAGTCACACCTTTTTGCATAAATTTGCAAGTCCTGCGACTTATACACCAAAGCAACTAATATCTGTTTTTTCCCCATATTTATAACCCAATTTTTGTCTGAGATCTGACGATTTCATTCACTCGTACGTGGAAAATATTGAACACTACCATTTTCAGCCACTAGAGGGCCCTCGACTAACATGGCAAGCCAAGTGTCTCATTAATAGGTAAAAGTGGCTATTAATGAGACACTTGGCTTGCCATACCAAGCCACCTTCGTCTCACTCCGGAACTTCTGGAGCAAACGTCAAATCAGCTGCATTTTGTCGTGCCGCCCAGGTGAAATGCAGCTGATTTGACCATTAAAGTGCATTTATTAAGGAAAAGTTCAACCGAGACACACCATTACTATAATGTTGAGCAAACAAACAATTGTTTTTAGGCGTTAATCTTATTAAATTCTTGTTAAAGTTCTCCCTCTGCGCTCCTGCAGCCGCCGTTTGGCAGTGTAGTGAGTCACGTGAGGTACGTGTCACTTGTTGTATGACAAATATATGTGTATATATTTATGCATACTTTTCACGAGTTCTTCATTTTTCTGACTGTAATGTCGTGCATTGAATTTAACAGAAATGTAACGAGAGACGTTGTTTATCTTTGACCCATCAAATGAATGGAATCATTTATTTTCAGAATCAAAGTTTAACATCAAACATTTACATTAATTTGGCAAAATATGAAAATAATAACAGACAGTTTCACAGAAAATGAACTTCAAATCACTCGGCGGTGATTTGAGGACTTTGCTTCAGACATTTCTAAAAATATCTGTACTGATTTATGAGAGAGAAGAGTTTAAGATTAAATTGAGATTTATCTTACAGAGGAAATATGTGAGGGAATTTAATCTGTTTGACCAGAAGTTGCACGCTCCGTCCGATCTCAGCTTCTCACGGTACACTTGGTCAAAATAGAACCATCTACCTGTTGATGATGAATCAGCCTTGGAGTAGTTCCTTTCTGACTCGTTTCAGCGTCTCCGTCGAGAGCTACCAAACCTTCAGAGAGTCGTGCGCGGTTAGCTCAAAACAGAATTATAATCCCCAAAAAACCTCTGGATTCTTCATTGCTCTGAAGCTTTCAGAACCGACTGCACTCTCAATCTTGGAACTCTCACGTTCTCCAGAACTCTCAATCTAACATGAACTGGGGAGTTGCCACATTTTATTTGGGTCGACTTCCTGTTCAATTTAGAGCTTTCTGATTCGTGGAAGGACCAGAAAGAGGAGTGGTTTTGACGTAAGGTGTTTATCAACAGTCGAGGTCAGAGAATGAAACTTGTTTAACATACAGAAAAGATTATTGCAGAAGCAGCAGACTTTTTGGAGTCTACTCTTGGTAATCTTCTGAAAAAGTTTAAACATGACATTTCTTCTTCAGTAAACATTTAGCTGACCGAAGCCTCAACTTTCACACACTTACGACTTGCTCATTTCAGACAGAAAATCAAGAAAGGCATATTCAGGTGATTTCTTTTTGGAATGAGGAATAAAAATCATTACTTACTGTTTATGTAAAATAAAGATGAGTAGTTCTTTTCAACCTATAAGCATTGAGTGAAACTACCACAATTGATTATTAAAACATTTGTAAAACAGTAATGATTATAGAGGATTGTCTTTTCTGCTTGATTAATTCAAGAAAGAAAGACATCAGATGGCCCAGACTTATTCAGATCAATGAAAATAACAGTCTCTGTCCATCTGGTAGATTTGAGGTCATCTGGTTCACTACAGCAGCAAATTGATTTTTGGCACAACACCAGCCCACGTTTGCGGGTGGTCAGCGGTGACACATAATATATGCGACTTATATGGCAAAGTGTCTTATTTATGTTTTTTCCACTTTATTAGACATTTTTGGACTAATGTGACTTACGCGCGGTGCAACATGTACAGTAAATAGTGTAAAATGAGCTTGAGTGTTAAGACTGTGGAGTCCTTACAAGTGATTCATGACCAGACATGAGATATCTACCTGTTTCAGTCTCCCACTGGTGAAGCAGGGAGAGATTGTGCTGCGAATTCGTTTCCACCGTTCATCTTTAACGACTGTAATTGCATCCTCCAAAGGTCCGCCCGTCGCTCCAATAAAGTCCTGCAAACAACAGACAACATGTTTAGATTCTGCAGAGTGCTCCGAAAATTCATTGCAGTCACTGTGCAAGAGGCAGGGGACACCCTGGACAGGTCTCCAGTCCATCACAGGGACACATAGAGACAAACAACCAACTCTGACCAGTTCACCAGTTGCTGCTCATTTCTGACGGACGTGCCGTCCTACCTGTGCCGCACCCTCATTCCACCTACACGGAGAGGGCGCAGACACCGCAGGAACCGCAGCGGCCGGCTGGTCAGACTGAAAGCCTGTTTGGCGTTGGCCGCTCTCTCTCATGGGTTTGGAGCTGCATCTAATAAGTTTCATCCTGTGGCGCTCCTTGGATCCTATCAGCTCCTCTCAGGTTCCTGCTGTCGGCTTGGATAAGGGAAGTTCTGCACTGCGGTAAAGTCCAAGATTGCATCAGTCACCGTTTTCTGCTGTATTCCTTCATCATGCTCAGGTTTTGTTTCGATTG